GACATTTCTGGATACTACTTCAGTGGGAGATAAATTTTCATGAGAAAGGCTAAAATTTTAAATCTTTTTACCCATTTTTGAGAGTTTTTTCAACTTTTTTATTGCTTTTTAATATCCCACAACATTTTTTACCATGAAATATCAATAATATTTCTGGGCACTCCCTATGTGGGAGATTAAAAAAATCTGCTAAAGCCATCAAAAACGACCCTTTATGTTTGTTCAAAGATCCATCAGATTCTTTGGGTTTATAGCACCTCTGATGTAATTGCAAAAAGAAATCTGGCAGCAAAGCTGCTAAAAAATCATTTGCGATAAAACCATTAAATTTTTTTTTCTAGCACACTCATGATGCTACATCGCTACATTCTGACAAAGACAAATTGTCTAAGCTACTCAAGAGTGGAAAATTTAACAAACTAGTTTAAGTATGTAGTGGTTTTGTGGTATTTAATTAATATATTAAGCATTAGAAAAGTGGAATAATAAGCATTCGAAACCTCAATATAGATTAAGTTGTGGTCGTTGTCTGTATTAGGAAGAGTGAGTGTGAAATGTTCAACGTGGACAGGAAAACACATACACGTTCTACCAATTAAACAAGTTTAATTTCGCACTGAATTTGAAATATATATACAGAATAGGTTCGGATTCCTGCTGTTCTCCTCCAAACGGTTCCACAGTCTTGAGTGACCAGGCATATCAATAGACCGGTAGTTAATTTCTTGATAACTACCTCCTGACAATTTATTTGCACGCATAAACCTTAACATAACTTAAACTAAAAATAGAAAAAGAAGGGGAAATGAGAAGAATTAAAGGACAGAAGGGTACCCAATTTTCCAGTTGGTTCTCCACCATTCCTCATCTCGGCTTCTCTTTCTCGTCTGTTCTCCTCTTAGAACAACTTGGGTCTGTTTTGGGGTTGTTTCTCTATAATCGTCGACCGGATTCTTCTACCAATCTGCTTCTTACAGCGTCCTTCTGCAGCGCTCCTCGACTTTCTGTTCAAGAGCTACTGCCACTTGTCTGTCTCTCTCTGAGTCCGACCTAAAAATGCTTCTAGAAACTCTCCTTTTCCCCTCCAGCCTCGTTTTCTCTTTTTGTTCTAATGCTACCCCCTGATGGGTTAGGGGTGAGGCGAGTTCTCAGAAGTCCGAGACAAAGGAACAAAGAAATCGGAAAGAAGGAAAATTCTAGAATTTAAATTAAACTAAAACTATACAGATTAATAATAATAATGAAAATAATAAAAAAAAAAAAACAGGCGTGTAACCACAGAGTATAGAACTCCGGATGACCACTTGTGTATTGTCATCTTGCTGTGGGTCATTCGAAGGATAAAAACTAGTGAGAATGTGCGTGATAGTTTCCTCCGTGTTGTTAGTGTAATGATCATCAGGGAGCTGGATAGTGGAGGGGGTTTGGAGCTGGCATTTTTCCTTACCAGCTAAGTAGTATGGTTCAGACCAGGAGTTGTGACTGCAAGTGTTGGTACAGAAATCCTTCTAAGTGTTAGTCCTTGTTTTATTTATAAGGATTTTGTAAGCATTGTGTTCATGCCTGTACTGGTCTCTAAGTGTGACTTTAATGTCCAGGTCCTGTTCATTCCTAAATTGCCTCCTTAATCTCCCAACAACTTTTTTCTTGTTTTCTAGTTCAATGGTCCACCAAAGAACCTTTTTGTGTTTACAATGTTTGACCTTGGAGGAATAATGTAAGAGTTAGTGATTGTATTTGTAAGTCTTGGTGACAAGATGGTCTAAAGTGTCCTGAGTATAGTGACTGTGGTGAGGGATACCAGCCCAAATGTTATTGAAGGTATCACAGAATAATTACCAGTTAGTGCGAGTATAGTGAAAATTATGATTATTAGTATTACTAGTAGTGTTCAGTTGGATGAAGATATACCTATTGGCAGAATCTATATTGGTAGTGTAACAGTGGTCGACCCTAGGGATGATGTGACTGACTGTTTCCTAACGTTAGGTCAATCCAACTTTCTCCCATGGTACAGGAGTAGGTCGGAAGGGTGCTGGTGTTCAAGTGAGTAAGGTTGTGTTGGGCCATGTAAGATTCGTTAACTATGTTACCTCTAGGGTCATCTTCTGGACTATGCAGGTTGCAGACTTGATTTATCTCCCACTGAGGTAGTATCCAGAAATGTCATCAATTTTGGGAGATTTAAAAAAATTGGTCTTTTTGTTCATTTTTAGAGGTTTTTTGAATTTTTTGCTGTTTTTTAGATGGTTTTTGCTCAAATTTTATCTCCCACAAAAAAGTAGCTAGAAGTAACATTTATTATACTACTTACAAAATATTTATGATCTACCTACCTACAACTTAGGCACAATTTGGTCTGCCAACCAAAAAGTTTGGGCATCACTGATTTGCTTATTATTTTATACCTATTCTGTATGTTTCCAAATTACTGGCAAAATACTCTTGTTAATATTTAGTTTTAAAACATGTAATTCATTCTATGAATTGTTATGAGTGCTTAATATCTTACATCTTTGTATCAATGAATTTAGAACTACAGAAGCATTGACGTGTTATAGATAGATTGCAATATGCTGTACATAACATATTATTGTACTTTTATATAAATTATCTACATGTTTATATTGTGCAGTAGTGAGAATTTTACAAAGAATATTGAATTGCCAAACTATAAATATATAGATAGGATGATAATTTTTAAATTTTGAGTAGAATTTATGGTATATTGTAAGTTTTTATTTCATTTAATTAAAGATAGGAACTTTGGATGTAATGATTGTTATATTAGCTTAGAATGTATAAAATCAATCACCTTTATTCTTATATAACTGTTATACATATTTGTTCTCTTTTTCTGTATTTATTTTATTGTGTAAAATTTCATAATTTTACAGTTTTAAATATATATTTTAGAATTTAGTTTTACCTAAAAAATGTATAGATGTTTACATTCAAATCCTATTGATCAATGACTATGTGCCTCTTAAATTATCCTTTATGCACAAAATATTATAACTAAAAATGTGCAAATTAAATAATAGTGAATTGACTACAGTTTTCTTTTCACAGAAAGATTCTAAATATTATAATATTTTACAAAAGATTCTTAAATATTTTAAACTTTCTTAATAAGTGCATAGATAGATTGCAATAAGCTGTGCATGTTTCATGTCTCTCATTGATATTTATGTTTAGAAATATATTTCAACTTGAAAAGCATGTTAACCAATATTTTACATTCATTCTTATCAGATTTATTATTTATATAATCATTAAAAGTATGGCTATATAATAGTTTCACATGGAAATGATAGTGAATAATATAATATATAGTATAATAATATATAAAATTAAATCTACTGATTTATTGATATTTATTTTTCTTGAATGATGTTTTCATACTTTTAAGCAGATTATATGACTCCAAAGGAAGTAAGAAAAAAAAACAATGCTAAACGAAAATGCATCCAAATTTTATTTGGGATTAAATGATTTTTGGGACCAAACATCCCTTCATCATATTTTACAGATTTGGAACNTATAATTTAACAAATTATTAAGCTTTTTTTTAATAAAATAAATCAACGTGTCCAGCATCCGGATGCGGCTCCTCATCCGAGAGGATAGCGAATCACATTCGTACGCTGTACGCGTAGTTCGTGTCTTTATTTTTACTTTTGACTCAATAAATGGTAAAAATATTAAATAAAATAAAGTACACTAAAGTACCATTCTTTTATTCCTAATGCAACTAAAATCTTTTAAGTTCAACATAATACTTAAATTCAATATTGCTAATGTTTTTAGTCATATTTAATGACCATCATTAGACAGTTCTACAAAGAACATACCATATCATTGATCAAATTTGAAATTCCTGTTTGAAAAATGGAATCTTTCAAACATTCTTTACTAATACCATCATTGTTTTATTTAGCATTATTTGAAAGATTATTTGAATATAACAAGACTTTAAATTAACTATATAATAAACATTACTGGATCAAATATCTGGCTTCCAGAAATCTGGAATTATCATTAAATTGACTATTTTTGAAACTTGCTAGTTTTGAATTTGGGAAGTTGTAGTAGTTGTAGTTTGCTGTGTAAGTACTTTGTTTTGGTTTCCATGGAGTATATTTCACACAATGCCAGTTCCAGTAAAAACTGTTAGTATACAATGTGTTAAATACAATGTTGTTTTTTACTTTCCATTGTTTATTTTAAGTACATATTTATTTAACCTGAGTTCAGAAAACAGGAAATTCTAGAAATCCAAGCTTGCCAGATATTTGGTTGGCTACTGTATTAACAAAAAGTATTAACTGTTATGGTATCTTTTTATTAGTAGTATTTATTTTTATGTTTTTACAAAACTTAAACAAAATAATCTACACATGTGAAATAAAATTGATTCATTTCAGATAAATTATTCTAATGTTGCAAATCACAAATACAAAAAAAATGGGTTAGAAAGTTCTACTATATTTGAAATACTGAAACTGATATTTCTTTAATTTAGATTTAAAAAATCAGAATAATTCATTATCATTAAATTTTTGTAATCAAAATTCTCACCTCATATCTTAAAGTTAATATCTCCCAAAATTCCTAAGAATAAATTTCATTTTTTGAAATTTATTCTTACTGTTTTACTACAATATTAAAAAATAGTCAATGCTAAAATGTTGTAAATAAATTGTATTAGTAAGAATATACATTTCTTATTTTTTTTTTATTGTTAAATGTACAGTAATATCAGTAGTCTATTGTAATAAGTTTAACTGTCTGTAAATGAGAAAAACTTATTTGTTACAATTTAAAAATTGAAATTCTCATAATGCTTAATTAACAGTAACAGTGCTTAAAAATAATTGAGCAATATTTAAATATTTAGATGTGCTGTTTATATTAATTAAATGCTTTTATATGTAAATATAACGTAAAAATTTAATTCTTAAATTTTATTTTTTAGCTTCAATTTATATGTTATTATATAAAATAATTCTCTATTTTTTACAGAAGTAAAAGAGCATCTTCTCCACGAATTTTGGCACGATTTTTTGCTAGTTTATGTGTAAATGTAAGATTTTCTATCAATATAATTTAATTTAATCGAACTTAATTTAGATAAACATTTAATTTTCATGTCACTTTATTGAATTAAATCAAATATAAGAGAAAAGTTTAATCGTAAAATGCTTAATATTACATTATATAAAACCGTTTCTTCATATAAATCACCATAAAGAGCACACTTCTCTCTCTCAATTTAGCCCTATAAGTTCTAGATATATAGGGATATTTAGCCATATAATTATGACATTATATAGGTGAATATTACTTATAAATCTAGCCTATAGGTTGTTAAATACGAGATATAGAGTTATGTTAAAATTCTTATCCGGGACAATTTATTCAAAATATTTTAAGCTTGGCTTTATTTTTAAGTATATAACAAGATAAAATGTTTCCGTAATGTTATTTTATCCTGGATAAATCAGTAATGAAATTATCCTGATATAAAAAGTACGGAAATAATACGTAATTTTATAAGTTATCACTAAAAGAAAGTATCTTGTCTATTAAGATACTTATTTTAGATTTATTATAGAAAATAACATAAATTCCTTAAATTATTATCTTCTTTATTTATTTTTCTAAATTATTAAATTATCTCGGACAATCAAATTCCTTTTTTTAGGTTAAAAAAATCCTTCAGAACTTAGGCCAAAATCGCATCAGTCTTTTCTTTTATCGTTTTCTTTGAAATTTTACTCAATTTTCTAACTTTTCTTTACTCGGATTTATTAATTATATTCTAAACTAACAATAGAAAATTTAATTATTTATATATATTTTATTTATTTATAATAAAAATGTTAATAAAATTTTATAAAGGATAACTTAGGCCAACTCTCTTTAACCAACTCTGGATACAGAAGCTAGTAATTCTTAATAATATAATGCAATTTTTAAGAATAAAAAAGCATTAAATACTACCGAATGTTCCTATTTTATAGTTAAAGATTATAATTTAACAAATTATTAAGCTTTTTTTTAATAAAATAAATCAACGTGTCCAGCATCCGGATGCGGCTCCTCATCCGAGAGGATAGCGAATCACATTCGTACGCTGTACGCGTAGTTCGTGTCTTTATTTTTACTTTTGACTCAATAAATGGTAAAAATATTAAATAAAATAAATTAAATTAATAAGAATAAAAGCTAAATTTATTTTTTAAAAGTCTTATATTGATTAAATAAACAGCGATACAACCTCGATTGATATAGTTTATATCCTCGTAAATTATGATTTTTATCAACTAAATACATGCTAATTATCTTTATAACATTAATAATTAATCAAATTCTCGTTTAAACTACTTATTTAATTGATTTTTATATAAAATATTTAAGAAAAAACATTCGATAGAGCAAAGGATTTTCAGTGATTTTCCACACTTTCTATAGATTCTACTTAAGATCTAAAACGTCTTTCTAATACTTAAACGGATCTAAAATAAAGAAATTTATAAAATTACCTGTGTAAATAGCTTAAAAATAGATCGTATATATATTTATATACACGTAAATGGTCATAACCTCGATGGATCACAATCACGTTTATAATGATTTGGGAAATTAGAATGGTTATACGTTGGAACTTTAACCATTACACGACTGTATATATAAGTTAATAAAATGTGTTTTAACAGAGAATTTAATAAATAAAATTGTTAGAAATGTGTTATTGTTCCTCCCGAACTTCCTAACTTGGAATTTAGAATATTTTATATTTAATCAAGCTTTAAATGACTACATAAAGCAATTGACTTGACGTTAAGACGTGATAGAAACGTCCCTGATTGAATTCTCTTTCATTCTTCCAGATGTAAACGCAATAACAAGTAAATTCGATGGAAGAAACGAAAGTTATCCGGACACGACCGAATCGTGCACAGGTAAAAAGTCAAGACACGCAAAATCCGTCCGTCTTTGCATCAATGCTAGAGAAAGAAGACGTATGCACGACCTGAACGATGCCCTAGACGAACTCAGAGCCGTTATACCCTATGCCCATTCGCCATCTGTACGAAAGTTATCCAAAATTGCAACCCTTCTCCTAGCCAAGAACTATATACTGATGCAAGCAAATGCATTGGAAGAGATGCGTAGGATCATAGCTTATATGAATCAAGCGGGGGTACCTTTACCACCAGCTGCAGCTGCTGCAGCTGCCGTAGCTGCCACACTACCCGCCCTATCACCGGTAGCTGGATACGGAGAATCGGGATTCAACTTCAGAAGCGGTGGTGTCACATCTTCCACTGACAAGGTTCCACCCCCTTTACAAGCCTCNCTATAACTCAATGAGATGAAAAGTGATGTTATTAATTTTGTTTTACTGTTAATTAAAACAAGTTTTATTTATTTTTATTTTTAGAAAATAAAACTAATGCCAATAATGCTGTTATTTATAACGGGTAGATAAATGAATTGTTAATGAAATTTTAGTCTGTTGAATAAATGTTTACTTATTTTCCAAAACATAATGTGTGTTAAAATGTTTTCTTTAATATAATAAAGTTAAAAATGTACATATCTATAAGCTTTTACCGGTGTGCATCTCATCACACTACACAATAAAGTTACAAATGTTTTCGAACCATTACAGTTCTTCTTCAGGTAATGATCTCCCTAACAGAATGCTCTTCAATTCAAAGTTGCTATGAAATACGATCCAGAACGTTGTCCCAACCTGATGATGTCACTATGGACTTGCACGCTATGCAAGAAGTGTTCTATCTTAAAGATTTATCTAGTATTGCCTGCCAGGCCATCGATAGAGCGATTTATTTCTTGTGTGAGGTCCCGGAAATAGCCCCCGCAAAAGGGAAAGATATAAGAAAAAGAAAGTTTGTTAAGTTAAATCGTCAGGAAAGCAAATTATATAAGTATCGAATCGGCGATACCGGACTTTGAAGTCAGCGCTCATAGAGAATAACGGGAAAAACAAAATTTTAGATATAAAAGAAGAAAATTTAAAATATTAAAGTTAAGACGCAGTTTAGAAAGCAAAACGAAACTAGAAAAAAAATATATCAAAAAGCATAGGTGTCATAATCAACAATTAAACGCGATCAGATTCGAAAAGATGGTGTCGGATAAACCATCTCCAGCCGACCTTTCCCGCAAGCTTTACGAAGCTCCATTTACACCTGAAGACAGGTGGATGACCAATTGGAAAACAGTGATGTAAGATCTATCCAATTAGTAAGAAGCCAATCACAAAAACCCTATAAAAACGCAAAATTCAAGGACAACAGGACTTCCACCAAGACTTCCACCAAGACTCCCACCTAGACTTCTGTTGTGTTCGTATATCTCCGCTTATTTTTGTGCCTTTGTTCTTCTTTTGTGCACTGACGTTGGAGACTTTGAACTTTTTTCTCTCAACACTGTCCAGAAAACCCCGACAGTGCTGGACAAGATCGCCGCAATTACCACCGACGCAAGACCAGTACCAGAATCAAAATTTCCCAATAACACAGGACTTTGTCAACGAGAGACTTTATGTAAGCATTATCGTCCGGAATAAACGGTTTCCCTCTGGAAACCCAGAGGGAAACCGTTTTAAAGGCAGCAAAGACAAGTGTTTCACACTTGTCTTTGCTGCCTTTAAAAACCACCACCCACATACGCGTAGACCTTAGACCAACGGTTCTCAACCTTTTTCGGGTGGCGACCCCCTTTTTATAAAAGCCAAGTGATCCGCGACCCCGATACAATTGAAAAAGGTATTTTTAATAAGGTAATTAAAAAACAATGAAATTAGTTTTTTAGTATAATTTTATTTTAAATTATGTTTAATAATTAATTCAATGAGATGGTTGAAATTGCATGTATTATTAACCAGCCTCAAAATTTGCGGGTGAGATTTTGTTAATGCCAACCTCATGTCATTCTCAACATTTAATTTATTCCTCTCAAAACTCTCAACACATGTTTCAACCAACTGTGACAGAATAGCGTACCCAGATTACACTTATTTTAATTTTTTAAAAATTAAAATAAGTGTAATCTGGGTACGCTATTCTGTCACAAAAGAATGCTAATTACAACTATACGTAAATAATCTTACAATATAATTACATTGTTCCTTTAATTCTTGGAATTTTCTTAGTTGTATAGCATTAGATTCGAGGCACCTTACAGAAATTTCGGTAGTGCTTTTTGTTATTATTCAAACTTTAAGACACCATTAAAAATAAATATTGCATTATAGTGAAAATTTTGTTTTAGTTTACTGCATAAGTTGGCGACCCCACAGAAAACCCGTCGCGACCCCTTCTGGGTCGCGACCCATAGGTTGGGAACCCGTGCCTTAGACCATCCCGACAATAGGGAAATAAAAGATTTTCCCCCCAATCGGCATTCTTACCCTTGTAGTTAATGTAATTATTCTCTTTAATAGTGTTTAAGCATATTAGATCGCCTCCAGCCATCTGAGATGGTTCGTGCAGTGAGTGGTGTGTATGACCTTTGCTTGAGAGAATATGAGTTCTATGTCTGGGTCCAAAGAGTATACAGCTAGAGCTGTGTTGATTCTTTCATGATTAATATCCACTTTATGTTCTTTGATTCAGGTTTCAAGAGGGCATTTGGTTGATCCTATGTAGACCATGTTTCTATCACACCTGTGATCAATGATAAGGACGGTGTAGATGCCGAGAAGTTTATTTCCGTCTGGTGTATCTTTTCCATTTCGTAACAAATCAAAAATCATAGTGCATCTTCTAATCTACTTTCAGATATCCTTTTTCCTAACAATCTCAGTATATATGGATTTTAGTACCAGATTATTTGTGATTGGGATATTGCTACTTGGAGTAACATTGGTTACAATTTGCTTCTTGAGGTTGTATTTTTTTGTTCAGTTTACTTATGAGCCCATGGTAACTGTGCTGTTTGGCTATATATTCTGTGTTTCATTTCAGACCAGATTGCTGTTTGGGAAGTTCATATGTGCTCTCTTGATCAAGGCTTTAAAAGCTGCAACTTTGTATTGTGGGAGGGTCACAGGATCCTGCTGGTATATATAAACAATCCAAGCTCGGTTTGCGATAAACTGCTGTGTAGACGGTTGTTCACTCAACCTTAATATTAATGTCCAGGAAGTGAGCTTCTGTAGGGTGTGCCTGGTCTATTTCTATAATTAAGCCATATGGGCTGTCATTGATATCATCAACTAGTGCAGAAATGTTCAGCTCATCTTTCCATAGGATTAGAATATCATCTATATACCGCTTATACAATAGTATGTTGGGGAGATGTTTTGGGATAAATTTCGATTCCAGTTTCCTCACTACTATTTCATACAGGTCTCCTGCGATGGAGCTGCCCTTTGCTGCTCATGCATTATTCCTTTGAACTGGAAGAAGGAGTTGTGACAAAGCAAATGTGCCATTTCAAGGATGTGTTGGTGCAATGTGTTATGTTTTACGATGTTAAACAGGGTATCCCTGATGGCGCAAAATACTGGTGGAAGTTTAATAGATGGGTACAGTGATTTAAAGTCTAAGACTGTGATGAAACTAGGCGGTGTAAGTAATTCTTTAAGCATGGAAATCAGGTCTATCGGAGTAGTGAGGGAGTATGGGTATCCTTCCAGGAGGAGTGCCAGCATCCCGTGAGTGGCTTTCTCCAGTTTAATAGTAGGTGCCCTGGCTTTATCTACCACCGTCTTAGTTCTCTCCCCTGTTTGTGGGTTTTAGTGAAAGCGAACATTCTAGGAGTGTGTGGTGCATTGGTAATAATAATTTTTAGCTCCAGCCATTTCGCTAGTTTCATATTGGCAAAGCGCTTAACCCTCGTTTGTAAATTGGCAATGTTGTTGCATTGTGTACAATTGATATGTTGTAGGTATCCCTCTTCATGAGGACTAGCAACTTGCTTTTGTCCACTCTGACCAGTGCGACTTTATTCGACTGCATCCACCTACACTATGTTCCAGATTTGCTCTTAATTGTTTCTCTTCCTGCGATTCTCTAGATTTTTTTCAGGGTATGTGTGGCTTTCCACCAGAAGTATTCTTTCTCTCTATCAGGACATCCTACTAATAGCGCTTAAAGGTTGGGGATGGTGTTAACGATATCCGTGTTTGGAGAAGGGGCAAAGTTGGGACCTAATCTCAGCACTTTGCTCACTTATGAGGGAACTTGAAGGTCATCCCATGTGATGAACGAGAATGAAGGTGGGCTATTTCTGTGGTTCTTGCTCCTGTAGAATCCATTGGAGTTTTCTTTGATACCTCTTCTTACAGGAGTGTGTAAGCATTTCTTGAATGGCAACCAGTCTGGCATTCTCTCTCCTTAGGTTGTGCATGCTGATATCCAATAGTGCATTCTCAATTTGGATAAGCTCTGCCAATTTGGTATTTGGCCAATTAGACTACCTTCCTCTTATACTTCTAACCTTATCTAACAGTGGTTCATTCCCAGTAGGAAGTCTGATCCGGAATAACGACATTAGGAGTACTTTTTTTCTTTTTGCATTTCGATAGGAACTCTAATCTGGCTCTGGCTTTAGTTAGGCTTATGAGTGCTCGATTGTAACGATTAGCCAGCATCACTAATTAATAAAAAAAATGGTAGAATATCTACACCAGAGTACTGTAAAAATGCACGTATATATAAGCCTTTTACCAGTGTGCATCTCATCACACTATACAATAAAGTTACAAATGTTTTCAAACAGTTATGGTTCTTCTTCATTATGGTATAACAAAGTTTTAAATGAATTCTAGAGAATATATACTTTAGGCCTGTAAAAGATAATATAATATACATCATGTTATGCTACTAATTAAAACCATTAAATAACTTAATAAAATAATTAAAATACATGATCTTACAATAAATTCTCTGTTTTCTGTACAGAATAGAGATTAATTTTCTTTTCGGATTCTGTTTTAACAGAAACTAAGTGTCAATCAGATAGATAAGACAAGACAACCTATATTATACCAAGCAAGACCTTAGCTTTGAAATCTGTTTACATCAAAATGGTACAAGGTTGCTAGGGATGCTAGCAAAGAGGCATCTCAGCAACCATGTCTTATATTTTTACTAAGGGTGAAATACTTCTAGTGATTTTTGAAATTTATAAAAATTGTTTAATATGGTTAATTATTATGTTTTCCTTTGCACAAGTTGCAAGAGAACAAAAAGGGTTACAGAACTAAGCTCTCACAAGCTTCCAAGCAACATAAATCTGATTTTTGTAACACTAATTTCAGCAATGTATGCTTTCGTATTTTCATTAATCCCATTTTCATCCATAAAGAATGCAAGAAAATTTTGTGAA